CAAATTATATAGTGCTGAATAATTCAATTTGATATTTGACACTCCATCAGTCTGCTTATATAATGAGGTAAATCCCAGTCCGGTAGCTGTACATTGGTATTGAGCATACCCTCTCTCTTAGAGCGACTCCCCACTCCAAGCATCCACTCTGAGTTCAGACCTTTGAACTTCCCTTCACTTACTGACCGTCCGTTTTCGAAAGACTCCTCTATATCATCTGAAACCGCATAGAGAAGCAATTCCGGCCTATCCTCCATGGGCTTCCAAACCTAGTGATCTTTGAAACATTTTAATGGTTAAAGGCTAGCCTATTTAGGTAAATTTTTTCCAAAAATCAGGACCCCAAAACACTTAATTATTAATAAAAATAACTGGGGCGAATAACCACTTGTAAACTGAAGAAATGGTTAAAGAATGAAAAGTTGAGAGTGATCTTTAGAGAGTGAGTATGCTCTACTTCTTGAACAGCTTTGGGTCATAAATTCGTTTTAAAAAGTATATCCATGCCATTGAGTTCTAGAAATCACTAATAAGTTTTTTCAGAGGCCTTAAGATTGATGAGTCACCTTAGGGAGCATTTACTCTCATCAATTTTTGACCATGAACTCTGTGCTATAAATTGTAAAGAAATTATTATTACAATTTAATAAATTTAATGTGCTTTATCAATAATGATGTACATCAAGCGTTAGAAAGGCACACTTTATATCAAATCAAATATTGGATCCATATATACCTGTGATACTATATTAATTTAATTTAGATAAATTTTCATATAACCTATTTTTTATTAAACCTTCAGATATTATCAATACTATATTATTTACTTTCAAAAAAAGCTTAATAGTAGAATCTCTAAACCAATGCCCACTCTTTTTTTATTTTCAAATTCTAGTTTAAAAATAATTTAACTTATACTGCTGTTGATTCTTATATTAGAAAAATTCTCCAAAAAAGTATTTTGTTTTCATAAAGTTTTACTTCTATTCAAAGCCTCTTTCTTTTCCAAAATATCTTATAACTCTTCTTTTTTACAGTTTTATATTTTTTTAATAATACTTGTAGAATCTGTATTTCATTAACAGTTAATATAGTTAAAATATAAAATGTTTCTAAATTTTGTAATCACTTAGTCAACCTTCACAAAAGTTAATATATATTTGAAGTATATTAACATATTTTCAAATTTAAATTTGATTTTCAAACCACGAAGATAGTTATATATCTTTGTAAGAAATATATTTTACTTCAAATTATTATATTCTAAACCATAATTCAAATCTGTTTGTAAACCTTGATATAGTAAAAGTTAATTATGATATACACTGTTTATACGATAAACTTAATATTTTAGAAAATTATCTTAAAATTTTTTCTTCTCGTCTTTCTAATTAATATCTTCCAAAAACATATAATTTTTATGCTTAAATTTTCTGTTCTAATTACAGTAACATCTAATATCATATATTTAAAGCAATAAACAGACCACTAACCAACTTTTTTTAAATCTTCTCATGGCTTTATTTGTAGAACTTTTATTGAAAAATTAAAATTCTGAGAACTTATACATTTATTAATATTTTTCTATCAACAAACTTAAAAATTTCTTGATTTATTGTAAAAATAATATCATGTTTAATTTTGTCTTTCTATGGATCTCAATACCAATCATAATTATAGGAATAACTTTCTTACAGAAATTTTTAAAAGTAGGAAGTTTCAAATAGTGCAACGAAATAATTCATTAGATTAAATATTATTATTTTGTTTTTTTTCCTAACATACTGTGTTGATGTTTAATAATAAATGTAAAATTATAGATATTTTATAGTATTCGCATATGAATAACATATATTAAACCTTGGCTGAAATACTATGGCAATCATCTCGGATGAAAACAAATATTAAGTTTCAGATAGAATCCAAAAATTAAACAGGATTTAGATCTACCAAAAAAAATTACTTCATTAATTTATTTTTAATTTGCCCTAAGTTTTGAAAAATTATGAGTGTAACTGCTCAATATATTCTAGTCAAAACAAACCAGACTTTTTAAAAATTTATTAAAGTAATCTGTGTTGCCTAAAGTTACATAATTATTCAATAAAAATTTTGGACAAAGTATATTTTGAAATGTCTTGAAATTATCTTTAAATATCAATATAGTTTTCAGTGCAAATTAAGATAGGGGAGAAAATAGAATTAATGAAAGTTTTTAATGAGTTATGTAAAAATAAAACTATGGTATAGTTGAACCGACTTAAAATTTCATCTTTGCTTTCTGCAACAGTTGTGAGACATAATTTATATGTGCCATAATTAGATTTCCTTTTAATCCTCGGAATGAGAATTGAATTATTTTGTTTTCCCTCTAAATATGCATAGTATGTGTCACAACAGCTATTTTCATTACTATCAAAATATCCATGATCATCATTGTATCTTGGTTATCACATGAAATTTTATTTGTTCTTATCAATTCAAACCTGTCAATAAATGTCTAATTTTCTATATTATAAGAAATCTTGAATTTCTTTGAATGCATTTTGATAGTATCAATCATTAGAAGTTTTTTTTAATTTTCATATTTTAGGCTTTTTTGATTTTTTAATAAACTTCATAATCATTCTTATAGGGTAAATTGCAATTAAATCAAAATTTAAGATTAATATTTTAGTCATCAAAGTTATTTAATATTCAAAGAAAGAAAATAGCAAATTGTACATTAAATAAATAATGATACTAAACATCTACTGAGTTTAGAAAGCTCTTTTCCATTTTGAAGCAACCTTTAATTTGGAATCGTAAACTAATATTACTAAAAATTTGTAATGTTAAATTGTTAAACAGCTAAATAACAGTCTTGTAATTTTAGGAACATCAATGTACTTTGACTTTCAATTGAAATTTTTACTGTATCATACAGCTTTTAAATAAAATTAAGTTATTTATAAAAATGGTCTTAATTTCTATCATCTTTTTTATTTTTCCCCAAGTAAGTTAAGTTTGTTACTGTATATATTTTAGCAACTTATATGAGTAATGATTTACAAACAAGCAGTCTATCTAAGAAATGCCAAATTATGCATTTTTAATTTAAAACTCATTAAATTTAATGAGAATTTCTGGGTTTAAAAGCTTGCCTTCTAGATATACCAATTTTCTTCGACTAATATTGGATTTAGCTTTATACATAACAAAGGCTATTAAAAATAATTAAACCTGGTTAAATAGTTTTGTTTCAGAAAAATGTTTGGATTCCAAATTGATTTATTGAACAAAATGGATTATTTAATTGCTTCATTTTGTTCATAAATGCCAGAAGCTCCAACAAAAATTTAAGTGTATATATTTTAAGATTATTAATTTTTCAGGCATTTCCTAATCTGTACTTGTAATAGCATCCGAGATTAAATTGGTTATATAAAATTATTACAAAATAAAAGTTTTATAACTTCAAGTACTGTAAATAATTAAATTTATAAATATAGATAATAAGTGCAAAGTAAATTATATGTAATTATATAATAAACATCATGATAAATAGAAGATTGAAGATATATATATTAATTTAATAACTTTTATTTATTTAAAGCTTGCAATCCTTTGTATTGATTTTCAAACAGAACATTACTGTATCTATCCACAATCTTTATTATATGAAGAGTTTCTATAAGAATAAATTCATTTTTAATTTATTATTTTTATGGAATAAACTAATTAAACTAATATAAAGATTTTTAATAATGATAATGTGTTTGATCTAAATATAAATTTCAATTTCATTTAGTATTTAAAGCTTTTAAACATTCATCTTAATATTAAGATATATATTACCTTTTCTATTTTTGGTCCATTAATGATTTGAATCAATCTTTAGAGCTTTTTCATAAAATAATAANGATTGTTCTTAATCAATAGGAAATAAATTAAAAAATAAGTAATTTGAATGAAGGATGATTTTAGGGCATTTCTGGTTCACATTTACAATAAATAAAAGTATTTGTATGAATATGAAGGTTAATAATAAAAATTGAAGTTAAAGAAAATTCATAACTTGAAACATCGATCATAAATTATCTGTTGTTTTTAAGGATGAGTTAAAATTGTGTTCTATATGATTAAAACCTTTCTTGTTTCAAAATAAAAGCCATTTTTAAGTTATGAAACCTTGTTACAAAAGATAAGTTTTTATTAGGTCTAATATTTTTTAAAAAGTTTAACTTTATAAATTTTTATTATATTAGTTTTTCTAAATCTTATACATTTAAGCTCATCTTTATAAATAGTACTTAATATAATTTAATATAGTAGTATATCCGTAGATGTTCGCCATTTTACATTATTATAATTTGCACAAGTTCTACAGTTTAAAGATTAATTGGTTCACTTGCTTATTTATTTCCTATTTATGTAATCAATTTTATATCAATAAACGATTAAATAGGGAAAATAAAATAATAAATGAATTCTTCATTTTTCATCTTAAAAATCTATTCATATTCTTGGATATTTTTTATTTAGGTCCAAACTTATCCTTTCCTAAATCAATTCCAATTATTATTTTGTAATATAAGTTTGATAATTAGTTTAAGAATGTCTAATAAACATTTAGATAGCATGAAAATTTTAGTTAATAATAGCAATAGTGGTATTCAATCTAAATTGCGTCTTATCTTACTTGGTGGTTTTTAAATTTATAAATATAGATAATAAGTGCAAAGTAAATTATATGTAATTATATAATAAACATCATGATAAATAGAAGATTGAAGATATATATATTAATTTAATAACTTTTATTTATTTAAAGCTTGCAATCCTTTGTATTGATTTTCAAACAGAACATTACTGTATCTATCCACAATCTTTATTATATGAAGAGTTTCTATAAGAATAAATTCATTTTTAATTTATTATTTTTATGGAATAAACTAATTAAACTAATATAAAGATTTTTAATAATGATAATGTGTTTGATCTAAATATAAATTTCAATTTCATTTAGTATTTAAAGCTTTTAAACATTCATCTTAATATTAAGATATATATTACCTTTTCTATTTTTGGTCCATTAATGATTTGAATCAATCTTTAGAGCTTTTTCATAAAATAATAAGGCTTCTTAATAATTATTCTAATTTTGTAAACAATGCCCTTGAAAATATAACATACATCAACCTTTTGATTATAATGAACTCAAATGATTTGGGTTGATTGATAGAGATTAATCAATTACTTTCAAAGCTTCCTTATAATCTTTCAATAATCTTAATGAATCACCTTTAAACAAATAAATATGATCATACCTTTANTAGTAGTATATCCGTAGATGTTCGCCATTTTACATTATTATAATTTGCACAAGTTCTACAGTTTAAAGATTAATTGGTTCACTTGCTTATTTATTTCCTATTTATGTAATCAATTTTATATCAATAAACGATTAAATAGGGAAAATAAAATAATAAATGAATTCTTCATTTTTCATCTTAAAAATCTATTCATATTCTTGGATATTTTTTATTTAGGTCCAAACTTATCCTTTCCTAAATCAATTCCAATTATTATTTTGTAATATAAGTTTGATAATTAGTTTAAGAATGTCTAATAAACATTTAGATAGCATGAAAATTTTAGTTAATAATAGCAATAGTGGTATTCAATCTAAATTGCGTCTTATCTTACTTGGTGGTTTTTGAATTTATAAATATAGATAATAAGTGCAAAGTAAATTATATGTAATTATATAATAAACATCATGATAAATAGAAGATTGAAGATATATATATTAATTTAATAACTTTTATTTATTTAAAGCTTGCAATCCTTTGTATTGATTTTCAAACAGAACATTACTGTATCTATCCACAATCTTTATTATATGAAGAGTTTCTATAAGAATAAATTCATTTTTAATTTATTATTTTTATGGAATAAACTAATTAAACTAATATAAAGATTTTTAATAATGATAATGTGTTTGATCTAAATATAAATTTCAATTTCATTTAGTATTTAAAGCTTTTAAACATTCATCTTAATATTAAGATATATATTACCTTTTCTATTTTTGGTCCATTAATGATTTGAATCAATCTTTAGAGCTTTTTCATAAAATAATAAGGCTTCTTAATAATTATTCTAATTTTGTAAACAATGCCCTTGAAAATATAACATACATCAACCTTTTGATTATAATGAACTCAAATGATTTGGGTTGATTGATAGAGATTAATCAATTACTTTCAAAGCTTCCTTATAATCTTTCAATAATCTTAATGAATCACCTTTAAACAAATAAATATGATCATACCTTTAGTACGTAAAGAAAAACAATCCTTTGGATTAATTTGTAAAGCTTTATCTGCCCAAATGATTGCTTCATTATATTAACCAAGCATTTTTAAACTATCCGCTAATACATTAAAATATAATCATACCTTTACTATATAATGATAATTAATGCTTTGTATTAAAACTTAATGCTTTATCTAATATTTTAATAGCCTCATCATATTATTTATCATTCGAATATATAATTGAATTAGTATTGATGGCGAAAACCCAAAATTAAATTTTTATTTTTTTTTCAATCTTAAACTATCTTTAGTTATCTAAAACTTTAATAAAACTATTTCTTAGCCAATATTTATCTTAAAAATATATAAAATAAAATATTATTCTTTTGCAGCTGATATAGTCAATTAATTTCATAAAATAGGACTTTCCCCTTGATTTATAGAAACATGTTTGTATGTATGATATCGAACGAAATTATGAATTCTTTTTGTTGAGTTTAATTTAGCCATTCCAAATATTCTTTGTAAGGGAAATGATTTGTCCCTTGAGTTTCTTAGTATTTTTCTTTTTAGTTTTCTTAATGGGACTTCTATTCTTGCATTATGAGGTTCTAAGCATTTTTAGTGAATTTAATACAAACTAGTAGCTTTGTAACATACAAATTGTAGTAATGTAAAATTATATCAAAAAGTATGATAGGGAAGTTACATCCTTAAAGCATGGTACTGATTTATATACTTCTAGTGTTATAACTCATTGATTAATTTACTCAGTTTTTATCTAAGAATTTAGTTATAGGCTGCCCTCATTTCAATGCTAGCTTGATTTAGATAGTATTCTGCCTTTTCTCTTTGTAGGTATTCTTAGTCATTTCCTTCAAGGCCTATCTTAAAATTTTACATAAATAAGTTTATTTTTATTTTTTTTATTTAAATTCTGTTGAAGACTATGGATGCTTAAAATTTGCTGAACTAATATCTGTTTGTTCAATTAAAGAATTAATTTTAGTATTGAACTCAAGGTGATTATTATTGCTTATACTTAACTAATAATATCATTAGAATATTATGAATCATAGAGATATTATATTATAATCTTGGCTAAAGGTTCAGGTTATTTCATAAATGACGTTTATTATTAAAAATTTTTCATTTGCAGCACATTTAATGCTAAAGTATTGATTTTTTTTTTTTAATTTTTCTCTATAAAAAGAAATTATTCTTTGAGAAATCTTTATTGAAGTAGGATGAGTTATTTAAGTATCTTTTTATCTAAACTAGGAGTAGTTTTAGCTATCTATTTTTTTTAACAATAAACTTATTACTTTAACTTATTTCATTTTCATTTTGTGTTTTAATTAGACGATTGATTATAATTATCAATTAAGGAAAATAAATTTTTTTTTTTCATCAATAATCTTTATTAATGTCTCACTAAATGGGTTTTTAAGTCCTGAAACTTAAAAATTATTAACTATCTATGGATTTCCACTTAAAAGAAATTTGGGAATAGTGAATTTATTTTCATTAATTTGTTTATCTTTAAAGTATATAAAAAATATCTTTTTTAAAAATTTATTGGGATTTCTAAAAATATCAAAAAAATTTCAATTATGAATTAAAAAGGGTCTTACATGAAATGTTTAATTTATGGTTAAGCAATTAAAGATCATTAATTATTATCGATAAGGAAATATATATTAAATTTAACTATGTTATTCGCTAATAGATGTAAATTCAAAATTAAGATTCTGGTTAAATCTTAAATAAAGTTTAAGTTTTTTTAATTTAATAGGTCCTGGCTACTTCTTATAGCTCCAGCAACTTCTTGATTTTCTAAGCTCCATGAGTTAGAAACTGTGGATGAGCAGCAATGACAAATAATAATCTTAATAATTATCATAAGACGATAGCAGATTTGGAAATTAATCATAACTTAAAATGTTTCAAATTTTAATTTCAATAAGAGTGAGGTTAATTTTTAAGTGGATTATAATTATAAAAATTAATTTTGAAAGAAAATTGGATATTTTATCATTTTACAATTATTTGGATTATTAGTAAACTATATTTTTAATTTGAATTAAGTTAAATGAATGAAACATAACTAACTATAGTTTTTCAATTATTTATATCTTAGAGAAAAGATGAGATAAAATGATAGCAAGCCTAAACCCTGAAAGAAATTATCAACCTTATGACTATCAGAAACGAGCAAGCATTCCTCACAGGAACTATATCAGTAAAACATATATTTGATTAGAAAGGCAACTATAAAAATAAATTAATTTAGAAAATTTCCTAATTTATCTACTCTTGGTTAGAATGTTTTAGTAACTTAATTAGAGATAGAATAAAAGAATTCTTAGGAATAAGAGGCATTTAATTTCATTACAGTTTACAAGTTTATTAAAAAGAGAAACTAGAAATTGGTGCATTCATTTTTATTAGAAACTTTAACTTTTGTTAGCACCTTAAATTAAGATAATTAATTTAGATATGGATTCATTTTTAATCAAATTGGGAAAAGATGTTTAATTCTATACTTTTTCAATATGTTTAGCTATCGTATGAAAGTTTTTAATAAATTTGAAATCGTATGGCATCAGGAAGAAATTGATATCCAGATTAATTTGTATTTTATTTTAAAAAAGGATAAATTTAATTTTTTTGTATAGAAATTTATTTCTCAATTTGATTTTATTTCTTTCCATCATAAAAGAAATTTTCCCTTTATGTTTTTCAGTTATTCATTTAGAAATCTTAATCAATAGTAAAAGTTGTATTTTTTAATTATTAAAAAATTCAGTTCACTTGCAATATAAAGTTTTTTGTTTTCAATTTATATTTCCACTTTTTATTTAAACTTAAAAATAATGGTTATGATTCATTACTTTTGTAAATTACTAATATTGATTATATTTACAAAATATGTTCAACAATATTAAAATAAATAAATTAATTATATTAATTTATATTAATATTCTTAATAAAAATTTATTTTTCCTCATACTTAGTGATATTTTCTTATTTAAATTTCCTTTGATTTTTAATCCCAAGTTATCAAATACTCTCCATCTTCACTCATCTATCCATATATATCAGTATATCCAAAATCAATAGATTAATGTGTTATAAAATCACCATTTTGGTTTTTCCTTATTAAATTATCATTATATCCATTTTTATTCACAACCAGACATTTCTACTTTATATATTATTAAGGAAACAAATATGAACAACTATTAAAACCATTCTTGACATAAATTTCTTTAGTTTTTGAATACTATTTATTAATACTACTCATCTCATAAACATGCATCTACTCTTTGCATTAAGGTTGGAATGGAAATTCATTATCACTTTTAAAACATAATCTACGACCTTTCTGTTCAACTGATATCTTTTATATCACATTCCATTTTTAATCCTAGAATGACAGTTCTATTATTAATATTAAATTATCATTTCCATAAGATATCACTCTATTCTTTTCATCATTCAAACTTAATCCTAATACATATCTTGTATGATCAGAAATCGTTTATGAACATACAAATGCTATTACTACTTTTATCAAAATTTAATTGTCTTATCATCACTTCCAGATATCATAACATCTTCATTATTGTTTATTATTAAATAATTAATAAAATTAGAATGATTATTTAATTTTTATTAGCATGCCCATTAACTATTTTCATTCATTGACCATATTATAATCTATCCATTCCCACTCCCAGATATAAATTGATTCTATTTCTAAATAAAATTTAAAGTTGTAACATCACTTGGATGATAGCTTAAACGTTGAGTTTTTTTCAATTTTTCTAATTTGAATTCAAATACTTTAATTATCTTATTACATCCAACTAATACAATTGAATTATCTTTATTAATAGCTATTGCTCTACAATATTCAATTTATCTAATTGATTTATCCTTTAATAAAAATAAGTGAATGGCATTAAATTGAATTATTGAGGATTGTTGATTATTATAGGTTATTCTATTTTCTATTGTTGTATTTGTTAAGGTTGAGTTTATTTAATTTAATTATGAATAGTTAAATTGATTAGAGGTTTGATTTCCTGAATCACTTAATTAGCTAATGTTAGTATTAATGGTTAAGATATTTAAATAACAGGTAGTACAAAGTTAACATTATTCTAAGGAACAGGTGGATAAGGAGGAGGAGGAATTTAATCAAGAAAAGCTTCAATTCTGTTGAAAGAGGACTAATCATCCAATATATTAACTTACATCTAATTATTATTAAACCCCTTAAAGATATTCTTATACTTTATCTTCCAATTAGTTAACAATTGATTGACTATTCATTTTTAATAATTATTATTAAGATATTTTTATTAATATATTTCTATTAAACATCATTAACAATTTAAATTATTAATTAGCTATACTATTAATATTAATAGATGGAAATTAAAGTATTTTATGAAAAGAAAACACATTTATTTAAAAAATTTGATTTCTTATTAGAATTAGGTCCTCAAAATTACAGAATTGGGTTATTATTGGTTGGAATGAAAAAATTTGCTTTATTGATTTGATATGTTTTATCAATACTATAAATAATTTCAATTTCCTGGTGAATTTGAGCTAAACTTATGACTTAATTTTTGTTAAGATTTTAGGTTTCTTATATAAATGATTACGAAAACTACTCAGAGTTTTAAAATATATTCTGATAATGCTTTTTATAATTTTAAGAGAAATTTAATGTATATTAGATTTAAATCTATTAATAACCAAAAATGAACTCAAATTGTAAAGAAATGATAAATACTAAAAAATACTTTCCGTTGTTCCAAAAAAATGTTCAATTTGAAGATTGTCTAATATTTCTAACAACTTTTAAGTTAATGATAAAATTAATTTTTCTCATTTTTATTTAATATTATTGGGTAATTTTTTCTTTTTAATTATGTCATATATATTGAATATAATTAATACTAGACCCAATGAATTTTCTATTTTTAAGATTTTACTTTAATTTGAGATATTCAAATTATTTTAAAAATGAATTTATTTAGAATTGAAGAATACAAATAAATTATTTTATTTAAAATAATAATATAAAGTTAAAATTAAAGGCTTGTTTGCTAATTCAATAATAAAATTGAAATAATAAAAAAAATATAGAATACTAATTAATTGTATAAAAATGAAGTACCAAATTCAAAAACAAAACATCAATTAAATGTAATAAGGTCAATTAAACCAAAGATAGAATTTCAAAATATAATAAAAAGTAATAAATGTTTTGGATAATTTTGTAATCAAATATATTAAAATTAATTTTAACTTTAATAAAAGTAATGCAAATTAATTTCATTAAATTGGAGTAAAGGATATAGAGAATATAGATTATTGGGTAAGGCTAATTCAGAAAATATTAATCTTATAATGCATTTGCTTTATATTATGAAAAACTATTTTATTAAAGTGATGGTAAGTGAAATATTAATAGAGTTGGGTTTACTTTACAATTAAAACATGATTGATCAAATCATTCTTAGTTAAAGCGCTACTTTTATAAGATAACTTAATAATAGAGATATTTTTAAATTCTTATATATAAAAATATTTGAAATATATTATTTTTTAAAGCTGGTAGCTATTAAAAGATTAGAGGGATAATATTGAATCAAGTATTTTATATCAAACTAATTGCTTTGAATTACTCTGTCAAATAAATAGAATGTAACTATTTTCTTTAAATTGATTTAAAGGTAATTTATAAACTTGTTTTTAACTTCAGTTTAAAATAACATGATTAGAAATTAAATGATTGATCAAGAAGAGGGATATGATATGAATCCTTTCCTAAATAAAGAATTAACTATTTTAAATTAAAAATAATATGAATCTAAATCAAATTATAATACCATTCTATAAAAGGTTTTTAATTATTATAAGATACATCTTTATTAATTGAGAATTATTTCTTGATATATTAACTAAACATTCTGATATTCTTTAAATTATTTTTGAATAAAAGTCATCATTCAAAAGTTAAATACTATAAATTAAATACAAATAATTAACAAAAGCAAACCAGGTCACATTTAAAAAAATTATTTGATCCTTAGTATTTTACTATATTATAAATAGAGATAATTATTATTGTCAGTTAAACAAGTCTTTCGTATTATAATTACAACTGTAAGAAATTAAAAAAAATTCTATGTAGAAATCTACAAGTTACAATTAATTTAAATCTCTTAAAGTTAATTTTAATGATTAATACTTTGTAATGAATTTCTCAAAATATGTTTATAAAATCCTAATTACATCATCAACTTTTTCTATATAATATTTTTGTTTATAATGTCCGACCACATGGTTACAGTCTTTCTTATTTTAATGAATTGTCTATGTAAAGATACCTAATAATATTTTAGTAACTTAGTGTTGTGATCAAGGATAAGTTGAAATCGCAGGTTCCTGTTTGGATTGTCCCTCTAATTGCGTTAGTTGCCCAGATGTCGTAACATGTAACTCTTGTAAGCCACAATTTTATCGTAATGCTTTATGTATTTCTTTTCTAGGTTATTATTCTTTTCCAGTGTATAAATGTGGTGCTTGTTCTGATGGATGTGATTTTTGTAGTTCTTCTAGTAATTGCTCAATTTGCCTTCCAAAGTTTTATAAGTCTGGCTCAAGTTGTTAAGCCTGCCCTACTTACTGTGCTACTTGCACATCTAATACTGTATGCTAAACTTGTGTAGATCACTATTTTATTATTGGAACTAGTTGCTCAGTTTGTGATACTTCTTGTAAGACATGTTTAGGTACTAGTAGTACTTGTACATCATGTGATGTAGGCAAATACCTTTCAAATTCATAATGTCTTCCTTGCACATCTCCATGCACTGCTTGCATCAATAATTCAAATGATTGTACTTAATGCATTAACATTAATTAAACAGCGATCAATTTTTAATGTGTTTGCAATGATGGATATTATATTGATGGATCAAATCAATGTTAACTTTGCTAAGCACCATGCTCAAAGTGTGAAAATAATGGTAATAATTGTACTGGTTGTATCACTAATTTTACATTAAGTTAGAATATACAATACAAATGTGAATGCTCATATGGTTATTTTTAGCTTGATTCTCAAACATGTTAAGAATGTGTAAGTCCATGTTAAACTTGTGAATATAATTAGAATCACTGTTTATCTTGTGATGATATTAATTAAATAGTAAATAATTCATTTTTGTGTGTATGTAAAACAGGTTGGATTTTTGATACTGATGGTATCACATGCATCAAATGTTAATTGCCATGTTTAGATTGTGTAGATACAATAAATAAATGTGTTACTTGTATAGATCCAATAAACTAATAAACGTAGTCTTGTTAATGTGAGCCTGGATGGATATTTGATGATAATTACTTTTGCATTCCGTGTTAATAGCCATGTAAAACTTGTGAGATCCATACTACTAAATGCTTGGCATGTGTAGATACTAATCATGAACTTAATAACACATCATAATGTGTTTGCAAATCCACTTATTATTCTGATAGTCTAATCACATGTGCAAAGTGTTAAGAGCCATGTTATGAATGTGATAGTAATGGATGTATCAACTGCATAGATATAAATCAAATCCTAGATTCCAATAAATAGTGTATTTGTAAATCTGGATATCTTTAACAAGGTGTTTTGTGTCTTTAATGTTAAAATCCATGTTCTACTTGTATCAATACTGTTAATTAATGTGTAACATGTGTGGATCCAAATTAGATAATCAAAGATTATCAATGTTTATGTAAAGAAGGGTTTGTGAATAAGGGAGACTTTTGTTGTGATAAATATTGCATAGATTGCTAAGGAATAGATAATTGTAATAATTGTATAAAAGGATTCTATTTATCCAATGTTAATAGATGTTTAAAATGTATTGATCATTGTGATGCTTGTTATAATCAAATAAATTGTCAAATTTGTTAAGAGGGATACTTTATTAATGAATCTCAATTATGCAAAGCATGTATTCCTTCTTGTAATATTTGTGGGAATTCACTTAGTTGTGATGTATGCTTAGATGGATATTACCTAGTGAATTAGAAATGTGAATCATGTAATCAAAATTGTTTAACTTGTAATTAATTATCTGAAAAATGCCTCACTTGTAGATCCAACTATTACATTAATTCGAATAATAAATGTATCTGTTAAGTTGGATACTATGAATAATAGAATTAATGTTATCGATGTGAATACCCATGTAAGACATGTTTAAGTTAAACAATTTGTTAAGAATGTGTTCTGTTATCTAATTTATAATTAGATTTGAATCTTAAATGTAATTGCAATTCAGGGTACTTCTGGAATAAAAACAATTGTTCTTAATGTTATTAAGCTTGTTTAACTTGTGTTGACGATTAATATAATTGTCTGAGTTGCGATTAAAGACGACGTCGTATTTTAGTGAATAATAAATGTTTATGTAAATAAAATTATTTTGAAAGTGAAGATGGAGTTTGTATCTCATGTTTAGATTAATTGGGAAAATCTTAAGAAAGTTGTAAATATTAAGATTGTAAAGATTAAATTTGGACTTATGGAGAAGAATGTGATGATGGAAATGATGTAAATAGAGATGGTTGTTCTAATTGTAAGATTGATCCTAATTACTCTTGTTCTAATTTAATACTAAAGTAATCAATTTGTTTCCAATGTTCAACTAATTGCGTAAAATGCTAATTGAATCCTTTAACAAAAAAATCCCTATGTATTAAATGCCAAGTTGGATATTTCTTAGATAAAAATGATTGTGTTGAATGTTCAATCAATTGTTTAGAATGTCTTGATTAAGCTTATAATTGTATAACTTGTAAGTTTCCACAATAGAAGAATCATAAATGTTAACTTTGTGAATCTGGATATTATGCAGATGAGATAAATGGAACTTGTTTAAACAAATGTGGAGATTACATAAAAGTAAAGGAAGAATAATGTGATGATGGAAATCTTGTTAAAGATGATGGATGTGATGATTAATGTAAACTAGAAAATAAGTATATATTTCTAAATGGTGTAAGTATCATACCAAGTTATCCAAAACCATTATTATAGAGTGTAGGAACTTCATAGATTTACTCTGCTACTAGATTATTTAAATTATCATACACTACTCCTATCATTTTGATCGATAATTTTCAAATTAAAGATTATCTATCTTTTCATATATAGAACAAAGATAATGTTTAATAAATGGATCAATCTTTTAATCTCACTCAAGATACTTCTTAGATAAATGAGTTTAATTAATCTCAATTAATTTTGACAATCAATTTTACTTTCTCAAGAAGTTCACAAGATGAAATCCTATTGATTAAATTCTTAAATAATTCAGTCATTTATTCAAATGAAGGATACTCCCAGATTGAAACAGAAGTATCTTGCAGTATACCAAAAGTGACATACATTGATGATGTCATAATTGCTCAAGTCTAAATAGCAACCAATAGTAACACCTATATTCTCTATTTTATTGGGGCAATGTGTGGGGGATCAGTTTTATTTGGAGGAGTTGAAGTCTTTTTTAATTTGTTGGATACTCTTTAAATGTTATCTTATTTTAAATACATTAATACGCAACTTCCATATAATTTATAAACCTACTTTGAACTTTTTGGATTTGCTTAATTTAACTTTATCTAAAAGATTTTCGATTTATCAGGATTTATTGATCAAATGCTAAATACAAAACAATTAAAGAAGATACCCACAAAAGTAGCAGGTGATAATTTAACATCCTTATTTATTATTAATGCCGCAACAATTACTACAGTTTGGATTTCTTTATTTGTTATTTATGCTATTGCAAAAGTGATACCTAAAATTCTATATTCATTTAAATTTAAGTTTTTTTCTGAATCAGAAACCGAAAATTATTGGCTTGTGAAAGTTGGAGTATATTATTTAACTATTAAGTATATCATTAATAGATTGTGCTTTACTATTATTTCAGAATTCTTTTATAGTGGAATCTTACGTGCTCATATGGCCACTGCATATGATTTTACTTTTAGTATAGTACTTTAATTGTATGCTTTAGAGCTTAACTCATCAAATTTCTTTATAAGATTTAGTTCATTATTAGCTTGTTTTGCAAGTGCAATATATATTATTAGTATCTATTATGTAATAAAACTATCCTAGATGAAGAAATATGCTTTGAATAATACAGCTATCAAAGCTAAATATGGATCTATTTTTGATGGAATTAAGATAAATCAATTTTCTAAGTATCTTAATACAATACTTCTAATCAAAAAACTTACCTTTATGCTTTTATTAATTTTCGCATATGAGTTTCCAACTTTTCAAACTGTCAGCATTACACTTCTATCAACCTCTATGAGTCTATTTTACATCTTCTTTATTCCATTAAAGGATAAATTGGAGTATTTTAAATAGTTATTTAGTGAAGTTAGCATCTCTTTTACATTATTGAGTATTACAATATTGACTTGTGATTTTGAATTAGTATATTTTTCATACCAGATTAGATAATATTTTGGATGGTGTTGCATTTGTTTTATGACCTCAGTTTTATGCATTCAATTAGTGATTGATGGCTTTTAATAATGGAAGTTTCTTTTTAAAAAGTACAAGCAAATTAGAGGATTAGCTAAATCAATACTTGGAGTATTTTAATAAAACAGACAAGTCACTGCACCACCTTACATTTTCTAATGATTACAAATAAATCTCAAGTTATATTAATTCCAATAATAATTTTATACTTTAGTAATATATACATAAACTTCTTTATTTTTTTGTTATTTTATTAAAATATAACAGGGAATCATCATAGAGTAACATATAGAGTGATATAATTAAATAATTAATTTGATTAATGTATAATTAATCTTAAAATTTATATGCTTTAAATATTTTCACACCATTTTTCAAGATTAACAAATAATATAAGAACAATTTTCCAAAATTTTGAATAGATTATATTTAAAAATTTTTAATAAATTAAACCATATTTAGAAAATAGTGCACTAATAGTTATTCTTTTTGATTTGATTAATATCTTAATACCAAAATTTTTAAAAATAGTATAATTTCAGGAAAATTTATTGTAACATTAATTTTTTATTTATTACCTTTATTACATTAATAAATATGGCTTAATTATATGAAAAAAGAATAATAAAATCAGAGTATATTAGAAATTTTTAATTTAACTATTAAATTTTAATAGTATTGTTAAAGAAAAAAATAATTTTTTTGCAAAGAATCGAAAATAATTTAATATAATACAATTTTTTACTTCTTAATCTAAAAATTAAAATCTAAAAAAATATATGTGAAGAAATTAGATAAAATTTCATAGAATCTTAAATTCTAATTACTATTTTTTATTTGCATTCCTACTTTTGATAAAAATAAAAATATTATTCCACTTTTATGTTCATAAAATTATTAGTTTCTGTGGTCCTTCATCCATCGAAACTATTAGTATATTTCGGCTTTTAATTAATGATAATTTGAATTCTCTTGCGAGATAAATCCGAATTAATTTTATGTTCTAAAAACATAAATAGTCTTTCGAAATTATGTGTTAATTTGTAGAAATAATATTTATTTCTATTATTTATTTTTCGTTAAATAATTAGAATTAAAATTGATTAATTACTCCAAGTTTATAACCCCTTTTAAGAAATATCTATATTTTAATAATAATTTTTATTATATAAATTATATTTGATACAATCCCAATATTTAATTATTTCAGCAATCCTTTTTATAATGTTAATTTAAAATTTATAACATATACGGAATACGTTGATATTCACTCTAAAAAGAATCTAGATTATATAAAAATTATTAAAAACACTATCTCCCTATATCAAAATTTCATTACTTATCAAATGCTTCAAAAAAGTATATATTACAAGCCTTATTATCATATCGCATGCCAATTCATTATGATTGTTTTTTCATATTATTTAATTCTTCAAAAAAATACATAAAATTATTGAAACAGAAATCAAAATATATATAGCATATAATGAAGATGATAATTGAATTAGAAAGTATTATTGGATATGATGAATAATCAATCTATTTGCGAGTATCAATGGTAAAATTACTGAGTTATGAGGCAAAACGCCTCTTATAAAAATTCAAAAAAAAATGAGTAATTTCACTACTTGATGGGTAAGAACACAAATGATTCTAAAAAATTATTATAAAACAGTAATCTCATTAGATTAATAATTTGAAAAAGTCGTTGTGCACAGAAGCTTATTTTGAGTAATAATTAATTTTCTAAAATAAATAGCATAAATATTTGATTTTTTCTAGTATAATTTTTTAATTTAAAAATTAAATTTGAAGCTTATTATTAATAATTCAATTCACCTTGTATACTATAAGAATTTATTGATTTAATTTGATTTGAATACAAATACTTGAATAGCTAAAATATTTTCAATCTTAATGGAAATAATGGAAAATATCTTTTCAAAAATAATTAAGAGGAGGAGATGTGGCATTAAAAATTCCAGATCGTAACCTTTCAAGATAATTACTGTTTAATAATTACCTTTACAGTTCTCTTAAAATATGTTAGATAATTCTAAATTCAACATTAAATTATATCACAACATCTGGATATTTATGCATCGAACTTTTTTCAATATGTAATATGTTAGTAAGAGTATTATTTATTTTTATAATTGTTTTAGAAAAAAACGCTTAATTCAACAAACTTCAAAGAGCGCTGAGATAATTACTTAACAGAGTTTGAAAATACTGTTTAATCCAATGTCACAATTTTGGGAATTTGGAATATGATTTGAGCTTGATATTACCAATATAGCTTTGGCACACATACCAAAAAAATTAGAGGGTGCTAAAAAATTTAACTTTGGCTTTAATTGAATCAATTATTAAATTTGAAATAAATGAAGCACTTATTTATTTAATCCATTCTTGAATATGCTAAGCAAATTATATAAATATTTGTATCATTATTGAATAATTATTTATCAAAATATATTAGTTTAATACTGTAGGTAACATAAGAAACCCAATAAAAGATACGAAGTTATTTGACTATTGAAAGTATCAAATGGAATATTATTATGTAAATAACTCAGCGAACTTAAATTCATAAAATTAAAACTGAATTATAAAATCTTTTCATTTAATTTCTAATAAATTATTAAATAGGATACTATATCGTTGTTGGATTTAGATGATTTCTGATTTTTTAACTTTTAGACCTATTATAGATATATATTATTAGAAGATATAAGAAATCTATTTGATAAGCAAAAAAAGGAAATACCTAATCAAAGATCAATGTATTGAATAACTACCATACAATATAATTAAGCTAAATTTATTTGTTTCCCGACAAATGAAATGAGTTTTCAAAATGTTTATTTTTAAGTGAATATTCAGATATTGGTTTAACAGAACTATCAGAATTTTAATAATAGTTGATGAAATTAGACAAATAACCAGATAAAAATTTTAGTAGTTATATATTATTTATAATAGAAAAAATAAAAATTAATGAGTTAAATTAAGATAACTAGTAAATTCAAAGTTTGTTCACTTTATTTTTATATTTTAATAATTACTTAATTATTTAAAGAGCTTGTTTGAGAAAAATCAAAAAATCATTAAGAATAAATTAATCATATCTTTTAAAAATGAATAGAATGATGCTGACAAACTAAAAATCAGAATTTTAGATTAAAACTCAAATATAAAGAATATTACAATTGAAATGAATTATGAAATCAATAAAATTAATCTCCTTATTATTTTTATGACTAACGACTTATTATTTATTACAGATTCCCTTATAATGAAAAATATATCAGAAATGAATAATATTGTTAATAATATTAAAAATCAATTTAATATGTAATTTTTGAATCTTCTAACTTTTTTCCTAAAATATCTAATTGAATTTTTTAAAACTAAATTTAATTGGTAAGATACATTAAATAATGATTTCAATAGAAATTCAATTTCGGATTCTTTCAATAATATTCCTAATTAACCCTTTAAATAATTAGGAATACTTTCAAAAAAGTAACAGAATATAAAAATATACAGTTGGCTTTCGATGAAAACAAAAGGATATTTTCCTAGATATTTTTGTTTATTTTCCTAAACATATTCAATAAATGAGTATACTTAGGTTTATCCTATTTAGTGAACAGGAGATCATAATTACTATCAGTAATTGAATAACAATTTAATATATTTATAAATTCAGATATGTAGCTGAGGAGCATATTTTGTAGAACAGGGGGTTTGATATAAATTCTTTTAAATGAATAGATATATTTTTAATGTTATCAATCTCCATCTTTTGCACATTTTCTTTTGCAAATTTAAATGAGAGAACATATTAAGTATTAAGTTTCTAAATTTGATATTTTTAATTTATATTAAATAATCTAATAAATCCATTTATGAATAATGAAATTTATTCTAATACCATACTCCAGAAAAATTTTTTTAGGCTTGTCCGAACTAATTCAATAAAATTACATTATGCCTATAAGTTGGCAAAAATGACAAATATACTTTTTCACTCCAGAGTTATCTCATTTAAAATAATATAGGATACTTGTTCATTGTTTTCTTCTGCTTTAATCAAAAATTAATGTGAATATATCTATATTAAAAGTCCTTAATTTTGTTAAATAAAATAGGAAGCCATTTCTTCCTGTAATTGAGATTTTTTCTTAGTTTTTTTTTTCATTCAAATATTAGAGGATTGAGAGTAATATTTATAAACTAAAGCCCTGCCTTTTGAATCCAGATTTAGAGGAATGATAATGTAGTTCAAGTCTAAAGTTCCAGTTTATGAAAAAGCAAAGAAAATGCATTTAATCATTTCTGCTCCATTTTTGGTTATCGTTTATTTTTCAATAAAATTTAGAATTATTACATGTTTGAGAAGAAATTATATAATATTTTAAGTATAATAATGCTTATTAAATCTTATTGATTATTTCAGAATTGATCAGTTTTCTAGAAATTTATATATAATTGCCAATATAATCTAAGTATTTTTTAATTTAAATGGCTCTTAAAAGAATTAAGAAAGAATTAGAGGATCTCCCTAAAGATTTACCAACGAATTGTTTTGTGAATCTTTTTGAGGATTAAGATTTTTATAAATGGAAGGCAACAATTTTAGGATCAGAAGGTTCTTTTTATTAAGGTGGTCGTTTTAATCTTTAAATAGAAATTCCTAAGGATTATCCTTTCAGACCACCAAAAGTTTGGTTCTTAACTCCTATATATCATCCAAATATTAATTCACAAGGATAATTAAGTTTAGATGTATTAAAAGATTAGTGGTCTCCAGCTTTGAAAATTAGTAAAAGTAATTTAACAATTTAGTATATATAGTTCTTTTAGTTATTTGTGAAGTATTGGAAGATCCAAATCCAGATGATCCATTAGATCCAGAAATTGCAAAAATTTATAAATTCAATAAATAACTCTTTATAAAAAATGTATAAGAATGGATTCAAAAGCATGCAAATTGATTTCTTTTAAATAACTACAACAATAGTAAAATATCATCATTTTTTCAATTTCTTTATTTATTTAACTCTATCATTGTCAATTGTTAAATTTAGGAAAATAAATAGCATATATTTATTATTATTAGATTTATTATCTCATGTCTATTTTGTTAAAGAAGGTTTAAATTATTTCATAGTAATGAATATTGATAGAGTTCATATTTTTGCATAACCAATATGTGTAAAAAATAAAAAAAAGTATTTTAATAGAGAATTATAAAAATAACTTATTGGAATTCTAATATCCTACTTAAATTTGAATAAAATTTAGAAATGTAAATGCTTATAATTCTCAAAATAAATATATTCAGGTTTGATATTCAATTCTGAGAGCTAAATTTTTATTTTCCTTTATTAAAGTTTTAAATTTCAGGATACAATTTCTGTATTTAAGATTTTCTTAGCCAGATATAATTATCTTATAGTGATAACACCTTTCTTCAATTTTTAAATTAATATATAATATCTCCCCATTTATAATTTGATTGAAATAAAAGACCATAAATAATATGAAGTAAAAGAATGTATTTAATCAAATAAATCAAAAGCTTTTTATAATCTAGAATTGGACTATATATATATACTCCTTTATCGGTAACAAAGATTATATAATTAGTAAATAAGAGTCTTTTCATCCAATGTTGCTTAATTATCTAGCAAACAATCTCCTACTAAGATTCTTAATTAAAGGAGTCGATTCAGAAGAATTATTTGAAAAGTTCAATTTAAAGGAACTCATATTCATAATTAAATCAGTTAAGGGGGAAGGTTGGAAAATTTTTCTTTTCTATAGCTAAATTGACTGAGTTGTTAAATTCTCAACCACTAAAACTTCTCCTAAAATATTTAATCCTAAAAGTTGACATGATTTTATTTATTTATTTTATAATGACACTATAAATTACTGATTGAAATGAAGTTATTATGAAAAGCTTCGAAGGGTAGGAATTTAATACAATCCATAAACACCAATCTATTAGGATAAATAAGTTGTTCAATTTTGATATGTAATAATTTAAACTGATATTTATTTACGTATATTTTTATTATAATACCTAAAATTTAAGAAACTTTGATAAGTTCTGAGGTTGAGATTCCATTTAAATTATTGAATTACTATTTGATAAATTTTAGAGTAACTTAATAAATTAAAATATAATTTTTTTTTGACTTTACTAAAGCATAAAAAATAAATGTGTATATTTATTTCTTGGCTCATCCTAATACTAATATATTATTGACTTTGCATATTGACATAAAAAATTACTAAATCAGGATAATTCAAAAAAGAATATTACTTAGGAGAATTTTCTAATATTTTTAAGCACTCCCAATTCTATTCAATCCTAAAATCCATGCATTAATATGCTGTTTAATCATTTTGGTCATCACAATCCTTTTATGCATGAAGCAAATTCATTTCCACAATTCAATTATTTTTTATTTTGAAAGAAAACTATTATCAACAAATTCAATACCTCATTGCTTTTAATACACCTGTTATCATAAATATCACTCTAATTGTTATGCTCAACTATCCCAAACTATTCAACCGAATATGGAGTTAAAATTTCATCTCCACACATAGGATTTAAAGTATGATTAATATTGATTGGAAAACCATATTCATATAAATGACAGATTCCAAATAATCATGGTGTGGAAAAATCAATAAAAGAAAATTTACATTCAAAAAAACCATCTTTGAATATTTGAATCAAATCATCTTATTCTTCCTATAATGAATGATTTAATCACCAAATACAGGATGATAATCAAAAAGTGTTCATCTTTGGTCCAGCCTTTTTAATACTTCAGGCATTAATCATCTATGAAATAGAAAATGTCTCCTAAAAGTTAGGAAACATTATTTCTGGCTAAGTGCAATATTTTGAAGATCTTAATTCCTAAAAATTAATTACAATGTTTGAATCCGAATGATTTTTAATTAATATTTCAACTTAATGGTCCTATAGATAAATATTTATTTTTTTAGACTAATAAAATAATTAATTATCTTAATTGGAGCCACTAAAGTCTATTATTATAATCCCATCATCTTTTTTAAGAAACTTTATTAAAATCTTAATGCAGAGGTAGTTAAGTAAAATAATTTATAACAGAATAGTATTAAAAATTGTATTTTTTATATTCTGAATTAAAATATTCTGTTTATAAATGTTGACTGACTTCAAACTGAATGGAATTTAAAAAAAATACATTTAGAAGGAGGATGTAAAAGAATAATCATTATAAAAATGATTAATTAGAAATTTAATCTATTTTTAAATTCAATTATTGATAATTTTTAAAATATGTTTAAGCCATTTGATCATTGCCTTAAAACATTATTGATATTATAGACTTTTTTATAACTGAATATCATATCAATGGTATTGCTTTCTTGACTTTCCAATTTAAATAAGTAACCACATTTAAAATCAAATAAATGCTAGTCTATTTAATATGCTAAACAATTTTAATGGAAGAAGAATAACATAAGATAATGTATTTCAATAATTAGAATAATGGATTAGAAATTCATTCACAATATAAGAGTTTAACTTCTTAGGGTAAATGAAAATATATAATTAATTTAATAATTATAATATATATCCTCATCAAAAGACTTTGTGATCATTATATAATATAATAGATTAAGTATAGTCTTCTCATTTAACTTGAAAATCTTTGTTGATTTATTTGATATTAATTTTTAAAATTATAAAAATTTATTATTTAACTAATCATTATTTACAATACTTTTGAATAAATCTATTTTCTATTTAAAATAAACGCAACATATTGATAATTTTATTGCATTGTTTCAAACCGTGAATATTTTTCGGAGCCCTAAAATTTCTAAATTGAAGGAATGTAGAATGCATTTTAACACAAAATACACCAAATTAAAAATTATTTTCTAAAAATATTTGTCAAATATATACAAGAAATTTCCAATTAGTTAAATATGTATATTTAATTACACTAAGTAATTGACAAGAATTCACAAAATTCTTTTCAGAATAATTGAGGCTTTGTAATTCCATTTTCTAATCAAACTCATATTTTTTTTTGGCGAGTTTGCAAGGGGAAGTGAAATACACCATTAGAACTATTTGTAGAACCCATAAAATTTAAGATTTATTTAAATAATTATTAATTTTATTTATTGTTTATTCGATAGAGAATATTTTATTCAAATGTTTGTTATAAAGTAAATGGCTTCTAAGAATTAACTTTTTTTATTATTAAAAATATAAATTAATTACATTAATTTAATATTTTTATTAATACAAGAAGATAAAAAATTAGCAAATCATTAATTCTTCAAACAATATTAAATTATATAATTTCATCTTTAACAAAGTTCAAACAATTTTAATTAATTATAGTGACTTAAGATATAATTTTATATCTCTTAGAAATGGTCTCAACCTTCCTTGAAATTTCCATTTCAAAATTCACATTTGGAGGGAAAATCAAAGCGCCTAAACATTCAATATAATTAAAAAGGGTTAACAGCTTTCAATGTTAAGTAAATCGTAATTAGTAAAATTAAAGATGATTAATAAATCATTACAGTCCTTATTTTATGTTGAAATACTTGTTATATTTGTAAGTAAATAATAAGAGGTTATCTAAACATTTCATGTAACAGCTAAGTATGTAAAATATTTAATTCCACTTTGTAGCTTTTTGTTATTGTTTTAGTAGATGACTTTAATTTAGGATCAACTTTATACTTTTAATCCAATAAAGAAAACAATAAAAAATTTCATTTATTTATATTTACTATGTAAAAATAAAAAATTAAAAGATATTAAATTTAACTTTTCTCAATCTCTATGATAAAAATATTAAATTAGTTAAATCTATCATAACATCTTCGATGATTTAAAAAATGCAGTAGCCTTTCTTTTGATATTGATAAATATTTATCTCGCACTTTCTATTCGTCTCTTAATATAATCATTTAAAATATATGTAGAGTATTTAAATATCTATTCATTCAAGTATCATTTTTAGTAACATATCAAAATATAATTTTTTTGAATGCTGAAAAATGGTTCCTTAAACTTATCTAACAATAGATTTTAATAATCTTAAAAAAAAGAAGATATACATTTAAATAAAAAAAATAAGATTTTTTAAAAACACATAATCAACTATTTTTAACAATGTATCATATTTTGATAAAAACATAATAAAATGAAGATTTAAAACTAAAAATGTTAAGGAAATTCATTTAAAAGAAAGAAAGAATTTTATGGGAATTTTATTGTTATTAATATAGAATATTTCACTTTTCAGATAAACTTACCATAAAGCAACTTCCTTTTTGTTTAAATAATGTCTTTAAATCAATACCTTATTGATTAATAAATTCCCCTTTAAAAATTAAACTTCCCTACGCCTGAAATATTTTTTATTGGGAAATAAGGAGTATTGTAATATTGGTGTTGACGACTAAATTATGTTAAATTATGATATCTGATTGAAGATTTTTCTTAGATATAGTAAGTTAAAATTATGTGAAAATATCTTAATATTGATTATCCCTGAGATGCATTTCTTATCGTGTTTTAACATCCCATAGACGGATAGAGTTATCATAACTCCCAGAAGCTAATGTATTACCATCAGGAGAGAAACAGACTGACATAACAAAGCTTGTATGACCATCTAATTTGGCTTTTTATTATCCTGTTTTGACATCCCAAAGACGGATTGAGTTATCCTAACTACCAGAAACTAATGTATTAGCATCAGGAGAGAAACAGGCTGACATAACAGAACTCGTATGACCTTCTAATTTGGCTTTTTATTATCCTGTATTTACATCCCATAAACGGATAAACTTATCATTACTACCAGAAGCTAATCTATTTCCATCAGGAGAAAAACAAACTGATCTAATAAAATCACTATGACCATCTAATTTGACTTTTTATTATCCTATATTAATATCCCATAGACGGATAGAGTTATCATAACTACCAGATGCTAATGTATTACCATCAGGAGAGAAACAGACTGACATAACAAAGCTTGTATGACCATCTAATTTGGCTTTTTATTATCCTGTTTTAACATTCCATAGGCTAATAGAATTATCACTACTACCTGATGCTAATGTATTACCATCAGGACAAAAACAAACCGATCTAATAACATCACTATGACCATCTAACTTGATTTTCTATTTTCCTGTTTTAACATCCCATAATAAAATGGACTTATCATAACTACCAGATGCTAACGTATTTCCATCAGGAGAAAAACAGACTGACATAAAATAACTAGTATGACCATCTAACTTGATTTTTTATTTTCCTGTTTTAACATCCCATAGACAAATAGACTTATCATCACTACCAGATGCTATTGTATTTCCATCAGGAGAAAAACAAATTGATCTAATAAAATCACTATGACCATCTAATTAGACTTTTTATTATCCTATTTAAATATCCCATAGACGGATAGAGTTATCATAACTACCAGATGCTAAAGTAAGACCTGAAGGAGAAAAACAAACTGACATAACATAATGAGAGTGACCAACTAATTTTTCTTTTTATTATCCTGCTTCAACATCCCATAGACATATATAATTATCATAACTACCCGATGCTAAAGTATGACCTAAAGGAGAAAAACAAACTGACATAACATAATGAGAGTGACCAACTAATTTTACTTTTTATTATCCTGCTTTAACATCCCATAGAAGGATAGATTTATCATAACTACCAGATGCTAATGTATCTCCATTAGGAGAGAAACAGATTGATAATATTCCACTAGTATGGCCATGCAATTCTGTTTTTGAGTAACCTGTTTTAATATCCCATAGACGAATAGACTTATCATAACTACCAGATGCTAATGTATTTCCATCAGGAGAAAAACAGACTGACATAACATAACTAGTATGACCATTAAATATGGCCATTTTTTTCTTGGTTTTAATATCCCATAGAAAAATTGAGTTAATATCATTATTAGATGCTAATATATTCCCATCAGGAGAAAAACATAATTACGTAACGAATCTAGTTTAATCATTCAATGTGTATTTTTATTATCCTATTTTAACATCCCATAGACGGATAGACTTATCATAACTACAAGAAGCTAATATATTTCCATCAGGAGAAAAACAGACCGACATAACATGTCCACTATGACCATCTAATTTGGATTTTTATTATCCGGTTTTGATATCCCATAAAAGAATAGTTTTATCCCAACTCCCCGATGCTAGTGTATTTCCATCAGGAGAAAAGCAGACTGAATTGACATAATTTGTATGACCATTTAATTAATTTAATTCGTGGATTCTTAGGTTGGTCCATTTACAATTCATTAATAAGGCTCCATTCAAATTTATTCCACTTATATTAACATTATTAAATTAAGAACCACTTAAATTACATCGAACAAAATTTGCTCCTTATAGAGAAGTATTTTAGATCTTAATATTTTCAAAATGTAAGTTTCTAATATCAATCTTCATCTAAACCAAGATATGTAATGAGTTCGATCCACATTATATTAAATGATTATCTATGGTTGTAAGGTAAACTAAAAATAATAAAAACTCTATAATATATTTATCATTCTTAATGCTATTAATTAGATTTTATGTTTATTCTTAATTTTCTTCACTGGAATAGTCTTTGTTATTGTAGGCATGATCTTTTATTTTTTTTAAGACATCAGTAATTTGTTTCATATCACTACTTCCAGTAGATAATCTCTCAACTTCTGTTAAATTCCCTATTTGTAAGATTTATTATTCTAAATGCCTTTAATTTTCATTATCTGAAAGATATTCAATGCAGTCTTCAACTTTTTCCTTCTAAAATATTTCTAAGATCAAACCAAAAATTTGTTTATCTACATCTTTAATTTAAGTAAAGATGTCAGCTAAAGCTTTTTTCTCTAAAAAAGGGCATTACATTTTCTTTTTTTATTTTTAAATTGAATTTTATTACATTTGCTTTAGGTTATATACTGCAAATCAATAAAGGTATCTTATGCAATTTTTAAAAATTTGAAGTTCAGACTTTGTGTAGATTTGGAATTGATTATAATTGAGGTAAAATATGTTATTGAGAATGATTGTGAATTAAGATTTGAATGTAATTCTGTTTCATCAAAGCTTAAAGTGGTAAACCTCAACTACCTATAAATCAATCCTTGATGTTGTTTGTTATTATTATTTTCGAAAGTAATAAAAATCGTATATATAATCAATTAACATAAAAATAAAAATTCCCTCAACAACTAGATTTTTCCACATGATCAGAATCACAGAAAAGCGATTAGCAATAATAATTTGAAAGAAAAAGAAATAAGCAAATAAACCATATCAGTTTCTTTCAATTATCAATAAAGTTATCGATTTAAATTAATTGAGTCTTTATTAAAGAATACTCTTTATGGCAAATTTAAGACCTAATAGTAGATTTAAGAATAATTAAAAAAGCTTATGGTTTTAATCATAAATTATTAATATATATACTTTTTTTAATTCCATTATGATCAGCATCTAAAAGGCTTGATAGACTAGTAACATGACAAGGGTTTCAAATTTGAAGAAAAAAAACTAAAAAATTGAATCTATTTTCTGTGGACAAATAATGAAAAATCTGCATTTGATTAGTAACAGCAAAAAGCAATTGTTGAAAGATACTATAGAATTTTAATAACATCAAATTAAGTAATTAGTAATAATTTTATTCCATATTCTAAGTTTATAAGCTAAATAAATAATGGAATGAAGTTTCTATACCAATTTTACATCAAATAAAATAATTCAAAATTTTTACAAAGTCTGGTCTCCATCTTAATAAAAATAAATAGGATACTTATTTGACTTATATGTAAAAAAAAGTATTAAAAGTCAAATTATATTCATTAGATTATGTATCTGCTCTATCAATTAAGGTTGATTGTTTTTCTGCAATGTTGCATAGTCAAGGAAAAAAGAAGATAATTTATATGCAATTTTATTGATATTTTCTTTGATCAGATGGAACGATGAACCCACCTTTCGTTAATTTAAGAATCTTTTGCATCCTGTTTAAAAATGAATCACACTTTTATCTAATGAAATTATTGGATTGCTTGCACAAATACAAATGAATACATACACTATGAAGCTATAAACCATCTTAAACATAGTTAAAAGTTCAATTTCAACATATAAGGATTCCTTTTATGTTTCAAAAGATGTATTATACTGCGATCATATCCTAGAAAAATTAAATATGAATAGGCACAAATTTATTTGCATCTAGATTTCCAGTCAAAACAGAAGGAATTCTTATTAGGAAGATCTTGAATCTCTTCACAATAATCTTATTCTATGGTACCATATAGCACCTTTTCAGTATTAGTATTTTCAAGAAGTCTTCTTTTACCATAACAAAAGGAAAAAATCTTCACCAAGGCTGATAATTTGGTTCAATAGCATCCATTTCATTCTTTAACTTTAATTTAAGTCTGAAAATCTTAAAAATCATCGAAACCTAATTATAATTAAGGGTTCAGTTCAAAGAGACTTTTATCCAATTATGTAACCTTAAATTGATATTCTTTCCAATATGCCCATGCAACAAAAGAATTCATTTATCCTATCAAGGATATGTTTGAAGGTAAATAAAATTTGAAGGCCTTTAGCTCTTTTCTATGATACTCCCTCCACATTAATTTAGAATATTCCTTAATAGTTTCGATTTGAAAACTTCTTAATAAAGGAATATTTCAATTCAATGAAGCCTTCTCTTTAGGTTCCCAACTAATTTGAAAGACCATCATCTACCATTTATATCCTAGCTTTCAATTAGCTTAGATTAAGGGCTTATTTTCTCAGTACCCAGAAAGTCTTCTATGTTATTTTCATAGCTTCATTTGCTATTACTTTACCCTGAGTTGGTGCTATTAAAAGATTCTATCTTATCCATATAAACCATTGAATCAATATGTTCTCCAATTCATATAACATATATCTAGTCCAGCTTTACAGGCTTATTTAAGAGAATTAAGCTAATAAGCTTGCACTAAAAACAAATAGTTCCTCAATTTCATAAAATGGACTATATGCAGATGAATAAAAAGATGAATTTACATTTAAAATTTAACTACCTTTTTACTGGAATGTAAATAAACGTGTTATTAAACTTGCAAAACCTTTTCATTTAGCCTTAATTTAACTAAATATCAAGTTTCTATAGTACTAAATCTAAAATATTCTTATTCGAAAATGGAAAGTGTAGACAAGTGATCCTAAGACTTTGTCAGAATGTGATATATGCCTTATTAAATCAGAATATACACACTTGAAATTCCATTATTAACCAATCTAAGCATGCTTTCATTGAACTACTTCTTAAAATCCAGGTAATATTAACTCAGCCATATTATTTTCTGTATTTCATTTTTGATTGGATTCACTGTTATTATTTCATTTAAATAAGCTTGCAAATGTATATATACCTACCTGTCTTAATACCTTAATTAAGTAACTATAAA